TTTTTGTTACTACTATCACAAAGTTCACTTCATGCCATTTAACTTTGATCTAAAACATTTTTTTCTATCTCTCATAGTTTCGACAATATTCACGTCGGAAGAAAAAAACCGATTTTTTTCAAGGGGTGGTTTCATCCCTTTAAAACGGAATTGAGCACCAACGAAAAATAGTTTCATGCTACGGATGAACTGCTCTACTTTTACACCAAGAGTCAGATTTTTCTGAATTTTCGGGTTCGCAAACTTCCTTTGCGAGTTCGCGTCCGGTATCAGTAGTTGCGTCATAGCAAGACCGAGTACTTCATAGTGTCCAAATTTTGTATTGCTAAGTTCGCGAGTATTTTTTTATTTCTGATTAAGCGTTATTTCTTTAGACTTTATTGTTGCTGCGTTACGCGTCGCGATCTGAGTTTTCGTTTTGTTTCAGGCGTGCGAATGCGCTTACTCGTCGCTCACACCGACGCGCTCAGCTCCATGTTTATTAGCATGCGTGGTCTTGGACCGACAGATCTTTTCTTTTTTTTCTTTTTTTTCTGCACTAAGAAGCCTTGCCACCTTTTGTTTATTATATTATTTTCTGTTTCTCAGCGTCATGCCACGCGTTTATTAAACAGCTTTGTTACGTTAAATTGAAGTACAAATTCTTTCGTCCGCTCACCATCTAACGAGAGTAGTGCAAATCACCCTTGGTTTTCGCCCTGCCCCTCTGTCGTTAGGTAAAGCCGGCCGGCCCTCATGCGATTGACCTCCGGGGTTAGTAACGTGTCATGGTCGCGAATTTGTCGCTTAGTCGTGATAGTTTTACGTTTCGCGAGTGACGTCTCCGTTGAGCACGTCTGGCGCCCAACTTTAGCGTCGCGACTCCCCGTCGATTGCAGGAGAGACCTAATTAAAAGGGTTTACACCTTCTCTCCCGGAAATAAAATTCCTTTCCCGCTTTTGATCCGCGCCCGCGAGCGCGAGCTTACCGAGCGCGTGACAAGATACTTATCAATTATACACTACGCCACAAAATTAAAGCTTTTTTGCTTCAATGTTGAATATCTCGGTGAGAAAAAATCGTACAACGCTCAACAAAAAAGCAAATTAAAGGAAAAGATTCATTTTTTTAAAAACTGTATACCGCGTTTGTGTGCCATTTTTATTTCGGGCCGTGGAACTTTGCAAAGTTAGCAAAAAATTTTGCGATGTCATATCTCTATTCGTATCAATGCGAACTCCAAAATAAGTCAGGTAATTGTTTTCTAAAATATCAACTTGAAAAGTAGAGATTTCAAGTTGTAAAATGCCTTTTTAAAAATCTCGTTACGATCATTTTTGACGAAGTTGCTCTATCTTGAAATTTGCCTATTTTTAGAAGATAGAACAGATTATGTGTGCGGAAAGGACAAAACGAGCGACGAGCGAGGGTCGCGGGGAGAGGAGTAGTAGCTTTGAATAAATCAAGATTTCAAATTTGATTTCACGTGTAATTTATTTGTAATAACTAAGGCCGAGGCCGTACAACGAGAGAACGAGAATCGCGGGGCGAAATTCGACCGAATGTAACGGTTGCGAGTTCTTGACGACTATTTCTCGACTGTTTTCGGCTCCGCCCGCTCTCCCTTTTATTGCCTTCGGTCTTCTCGAATGTTCGAGCTGTTATTCGGCAATTGTCTGACGTCAGATCCAAGTTGAGAAAAATAAGTGAAAAGGCAATTTTGAAATCGCCAAATGTGCCGATGTCACACCGGACCCGCGGGTGATGTGATTGGCCGCGCAGCTCGCCTCGCGCCCCCTGTCATTGGTGGAGTCGGGGCGCTGCCTCCGAGCGCTCGCTCGACGCGATTGGCCGAGACGTTCGGTGCGCGGCTCGCGCGTCGTAGCGCGAATTCCAAACATTATGCTTTAATTTTGTGACGTAGTGTAACATTCAACATATGATATAATTAATTTAATACTATCAAAGAATAACATTACATACCTTATTATTTCTTGATGTTTTTTAATACACATCTTTATTTGATTTTCATGTGTTATTTGTTGCAATTCTTGTCCTAGCATTTCTAGTCTTGCAGCGGGATACCAAAGGAACATGGCAATCATGAAGTCCACCGTAATACAAAATCCTGTTTGCAAGATAGCAAATACTTGCAATATGTAAAGAATACCTCTAATATAGGTATTCTCAACAGAAAACGGATACCATGCTTCCATGGGAAGATTTATCGATAAAAATAAAGGACCACAGGAAAAAGTGATTGCTGCTAAGATATAGGATATTCCAACAAAAACAGAAAAATTTGAGTAACGGTTTATATATTTCTGAATAATATGCCTTTCATGCGATTCAGAATGTTTTAGAAAGTCCTTCAATTTTGCTAAAAGATTCTGTACATTTGTAAAACATTAATTATTATTAATAACTTTAGTTATAGTAATTAATTAATTATTTTATATCAAATTGGATCACATATACGCCAACAGCAAAATTAAAGAATTACTAAATTTTTGCAGAAAAAGATGTGAAAAGTATAACTTTGTTAAAAAAAATCAATCCCCCTAAAATCATTTTAAAAGCCAAAGAGTACTTCTACCTCCATAAGTTAATTTTCCTCGAAGATACTTTTACACAAACAATAAAAAGCAAGGACATTTAAACTCCAATTACTGGTCAAAATCTTTCTTTTTTCTTTCGCTTCCTAACTCACAGATGTCCTGGTAGAAAGTGCTGATTTCATTTACCACTTTGACCTACACAACTTGAGACCTAGAACGCAAAATTGTCACGATCTTTGAACTGTTAATTTTATTTTATTTTAATAACTTGAACGATGTACTGACTCCTGGATTTCAAGTATTATAAGATTGACTATAATATTTTGGCATTGTAAATTTTTTTTTTTCTAATTTGTATATTGACCACTGCGTATTGGTTTTCAATTTTACTACAGCGACGGAAAACATTTACAATGTTAATGGATTTTGAAATTATAATAACGAATCCTTGTATCTGCGTCAAGTCTGGGAGGATTGTTTTGTCTTTATACGATGACTATTTATTGCGATTATCTGAGGATCTACTTTTGAATCTCTGTTTTTTGGTATTGTTATAATATTCAATGATGTACAGACTCCTCATATGAACTGATTCCACTAAATTTTAACTGTTACTGTAATATTGAGAATGACCTGATGTAGGTCGAAACGTCTATTTTGTATTTGTAATTTTGTATTTAACTTAATTTAAAGCATTAAATATCCATCTCTGGCTCATAGCCCATATTTTATTCTTATTTTGTCATTTTATTGAGCCTATATTATTCTATTAATTTAAAATTTAAAGAGTTGGTTTTTTTGGTCTGATGTAATAATTAAACATTTTAAAACTGAAAGGTAATCATTTATTACAAATATAACAGAAAATAAAATTTTTAGAACTTTAAGTAACAAAAATAAAGATTTTCTTTTAATTTTCTACAACATTACTTTAGAATATTTTTTTTTAAATAACCGTAATTTTAAATTACAATTCACAATCAGTCATACTTCAATCAATGCTCTAATTATTAGCAAAAGTTGATTAGAGCACTGATTGAAGTATGACTGATTATGAATTGTAATTTAAAATTACGGTTATTTAAAAAAGTATCTAAAAATCTGCGTGTTACTTCATTGCGCAAATGTCATGACGCTACCATAGCTTTATCTGGAATTCTTATGTCAAACATACTTTCAATTCAAATATCTCAGAAATTATAACAGCAATACAAGATCTAGCGACATTTTCTGATATAATGTCGATACAAACTTTCGATTGCGACCATTGCGAATAAAATTGATGCAGTCAATACTGAGATCTTGAGATCGAGTTCGTGAAAAGTGTCACTTTATCAATCAAAAGTGACATTTTTCAGTCACACGTATACACATATACACGCAAAGCGGTTTGTCCTTTTCAGGCGAGTTTTCACAAAATCATCTTGTTAAAATTATCGATTTCGATATATATGTATGTCGAAATCGATTACTAATTGTCATAACGAGTTAATATCACGTCGTGTCAAAGTGTCAGTAATTGCTGCTCATCAAAATAACGCAAGAACAAGACGTAAGTTTTGTAACATTTACATATATTTTTTAAATTTAAATTCTATTTAATATTTTA